CAGCAGAACAGGGAAATGATGGAATTCCAAGACTCCGTAGGGTGAAAGGCCCATGCTAATAGAGACCGTTTTTTCTGCATTTGCTGGAGCTGAGTGGAAATTATTTCCTTTATTTTGGATTTGGGTTTCTACTTTTCTTAGAGGATCTTCTGTTTGGGGTGATTTTGACACGAGTGAATACAATCATGTCATTTTTGATGCTCCCCTTCTGCCCGTTGATGTACCCCTTGTGTTTGTTTTTGCTTTCTTTGTTTTCTCGTGCTGAGACTTGAACCTATAGGTTGTGAAATCCTTTGTTTTTTTTCCCTTGTCAATAACACCACAGCACAACCTTTGAATTGCTCCAAATCATGTGGCTCACTCCAGCCAATTGTATTTCAACACAACATAAGCCCTCTTTGGGCATTACATTCGCTGGTATTCTGAACAGTTAGTTGCTTAGTTCTAGAGGAGAAGGGCAAGAGGAGAAGGAGAAGGCAAGAGGAGAAGGGGATGACCGAGGATGAGATGGCTGGACAGTGTCTGCGAAGCAACCAACATGACTTTGACCCAACTCTGGGAGGCAGTGGAAGGCAGGAGGGCCTGGCGTGCTCTGGTCCATGGGGTCACGAAGAGTCGGACACGACTAAACAACAACAAGTTGCTTAGTTCTGTCACTGTTTTGATTGTGGCTGCTGTGCTGAATTTGAAGAGGACTGAGGCTGGTGGTGGTGTGTCTGCTTTACACATGAGTTAGAACCCATATTTTCCAGAGTCTGTGCTCATCTATGCATGATCTCTACAGGGTCAGCACTGAAACTGGGAGCAATTTGATGATGGCAAGGGGTAGGGGTTTCTCTTTGCCTTCAAGTCAATCCTGAGAGAAAGGCACTATCAAAAAGGAGAGGAGAAGGCAGGCAGTATCAATGGATATCAAAATAGTACAAGTGTTTGGCAAAGTGTGTGTTCTTGCTGGTAGGCAATATTCTAAAATGGGCATCAAGGTAAGCAAATGTTCAACAGAGATCTAGGTTGGGATCTGATGGGTTGGGTTGACTGTCATCTTTTCTCTTGAACCCCTGGAGTCCAGATGTGTATGAAATACCCTCATTACTTCCTCATAGCCCCCAAACCACAATCTTCACCTATTGCAGTAGATCCCAACCTTGGGCAATCCAGATGTTCTTGGACTACAACGCCCAGAAATCCTGGCCAGCACAGCTAGTGGTGAAGGCTTCTGGGAGTTTCAGTCTAGGCATATGTTATCGCTTTATCGCCCATCAGGCTGTAGGCATGAACAGAAATGTAAACCACTTTTAAAAATAGAGTTTGGCATTGAATGTTGCACACATTCATTTATCCACAATGCCCCAAGACATCCGTAAAATATTTTACTTTATTCTTATGTTAATTAATATTTTTCTGAAATAAGATATGAGATATATGGGCCTATAAATGAGAGATTGTCCCTTGAAAGTTATGACAGTGTCATTGTGTTTCATTTTATGTTATCCAGCCCTCGAAGAAGGCCGATTGGCCGAAACGTGTCAGGCATTTTAAAAGGCGATAAAGCATCCTAGGACTGTATTTGCGAAGGCTTTCACAGCCGGGATCTAATGGTTGTTGTGGGTTTTTCGGGCTCTTTGGCCGTGTTCTGAAGGTTGTTATTCCTAACGTTTCGCCAGTCTCTGTGGCCGACATCTTCAGAGGACTGGAGTAGGAACTCTGTCCATGCTCTGTTGGTGTTTGTGGGATAGTATTTATATCTGTGTGGAAAGCTTTTTGACTTTTTTCAGGAGATAGGGTTATCAGTATGCTTTTGTTGTGATCAGGGATCATTGTACAAAAAAGACCAGCTAACGACACCCATCAATCACAGTGACAGATAATCTGTCCCTCCCCCTTATCACAACAAAAACATGCTGATCACCCTATCTCCTGAAAAAAGACAAAAAACTGCTCCCACAGATATAAATACTCAACTATCCAACAAACACCAACAGAGCATGGACAGAATTCCGACTCCTGTTCCTCTGAAGATGCCAGCCACAGAGACTGGCGAAACGTCAGGAAGAACAACCTTCAGAACACGGCCAAAGAGCCTGAAAAACCCACAACAACCATCCTGGGACTGTTGTTTCCCCTTCTTTTGACGTAGTATTGCTGTGGATGTACCAGGTCCATCCAGGCCAATTGTTCTCCACCTCAGACGAGCGCTCATTGACAACGTATCTGCCCTGACCACCCAGCATTGACAGCAGAAGGGAACTGGTTTCCCTGCATGCTGCGCCAAGAAGCGCTTGCTCAGACCAGATCTAAGGCCCTTTTGGGTAACAGGAGCAGACTTCCTTGCACGGAAAGAAGCAAATAAAAATAATTGAAGCAATTGTCTCGGTTGTCTCCTGGGTTGTCACCATGATGCTGATAAAATCAAATAAACGGGAAGTTATAGCGAGTTGTTAGCGGGAGAAACCGTCGCGAATTGGCAGTGCAAACCCAGTCTCGGAGCTTAAGATGTTTTCTCATTATCTGGATTTATTGTTTTTGGGAGTAGGGGGAAATAACCTGGGCTAAGCAAAAATAAGGTGAATAATGCCTGGTTTCGGGGGATGTTTCGTTTAGAAGAAAAATACCTCTCTCTCTCTCTTCTCTCTCTGTGTTTCTTGCTGTGATGCTTTGGGGAATTGCTGTGTTGCTTTGCTTATGCACGGCCGTGGCTTACTATACAGTGTAAGAAAGGGTCTTGGGAATCTCAGAGGTGGTGGAATATGCTGGAGACACAAAAGCAGTGGAGGCTTCCCCCTTTGACGTCCAAGGGATGTTGCATCAGCTCAAGATTTTAGTCTGAAATTGCAAGGAGCTGTCCAACTCATTTGGGAATAGGATGCAGAACCTTAATTAGGTCCTATAAATCCATACTAAAACCTAGAAAGAGTTTGCCAACCCTACGTCACTAGAGTCACCAACCTCCACTGGAGAAAAAGCATGGACCACAGTATTTTCTACCCCTACTTTCCCCGCCATTTCCCTTGTTTTGACCACCCTCATCATCATCTTAGAACTTCAGAGCTGGAAGGGACCCTATGGATCATCGAGGAGGCACAGTGGGGAATCGAACCCCCAACTTCTGGATGCCCAAACCATGGAGTTATCCAGCACTTCATAATTATAATCTTAGAATTGCAGAGCCGGAAGATCATGAAGTCTGGCTTCTGTCAAATAATAATCTTAGAACTGCAGAGCCAGAAGATCATGAAGTCTGGCTTCTGTCAGGGAAGGAACTGAACTCAACCACTGAGCTATCCAGAAGTTCATAGATCCATATGTATATGTTTTCTGGAGTGCCACTTTCTTCCACCCAGTAACTTTGGAGGAGAAACATCTCCGGAGAATGACAGATCGCAGGGGTAATTTTCACAGCAGATTCCCAATTAAAAATTGAGATATGACTCAAAGTTGTTGCCGAAGGCTGGGGAGGGGGAAGAAAAAACCCCCAAAACCACCCAGCAGAAAATTTTGAAAGGGGTAAAAAGCACGGTTCTGGGAGAAAATGGGATTAGGTTGCTGAGCTTTGTTCAACGTGGGCTTACTCATTTATGGCTGCAGGGAAGCAATAAAGCTAAGTGGTGCTTTTCATTCTCCCCTCCCCCCTTAACCAGAAAGAAATATGTCTAATGAATGTCTCATGTCTGAAACACTGGGCTGGATTCATCAAAGGGAGTCAGTAATTACCAAATTGAGAGAATCATGAATCGCTTTTCTAAATTTGAAAAGCGCATCGAGAATAGATCAGGAGCAGGCAAAATTAATAGTTGCGAACTCATTTCCATAGAAATGGACTTATTAGCAAGCATGCCAGCTGCCGAAAATTATAAGGTCTTTTCCTTGTGCTTGCAGGAAATAATCACGTGTGTGGAGTCTTCCCCCACTAAGTCAAAGTTTTCGGCTTCTTTTCAGCGTCGAAAGTTGGGTTTTGCTAAGTTTGCACAAGGCGCCTATGTTCGTCTCTACTCGTGGAGACCTCAATCAATAGCGAAATTATGCATCGCCCGTTATGTAGCTCTCATTGATTCAATTGGTCCCAAATGGAAAGAGCATCAGCTTCTCTTGAAGGTTTTTCTTCACTGAGAAGTGGCGAGAAGTACGATGGCTAGAATATTACATATTTCTGGGTAATTCCACGGGGCCTCTGAAATCCTGAGGAATCTATCATTCGGTTATGATGCAAATTTGTCAGCTGGTCAGAAGCACGAAAGCGCTGTGAAAAGTAAGGCCACCAAGAATAGGTTTTCAAGTGTCATAGCGAAGGATAGCAATCAACGATAATGTCAAACTGTACGACACGTTAAGAGTTGTTAATTTAGAAAAGTAACTTTCCAGGATCTGATGGAATGGACACACTTTTTGTGCTACATTGGGATTCCCTTCAGTGGAGGCTAGCGGCTCTGCTTCTGTGAAGCCATTCCGGGTTTTGGTCTGAACTTCAATGATTCCATCTAAGATTCAGAATCAATTTTGGGCCAAAAAAGAGAGAGGGAGATTAGAGTGGAGTGTGCATGGGTTTCTGAAAAGTGCCAGCAGAAGAAAGTGGAGGAAACAAAGAAAGAGGACTTCGTTACCTGTAACTTCAATGCCAATGTAATTAGAATGGTAGAGTCTTCACATACCCCTTCGCTCTATCAGTCCTAGTCAACAACCCCAACATCGATTTATTAAAAATACAGCAATGTCTTCCGTGGAAATTGAGAAATGGGACAGAGGCTCCACATAGCAGCTGGGGAGGGTACTGAGGCTCCTGGGGCCTGCTGGTGCAGTTCGGGGTGATCTGTATGTCTCTCTTTGTGTGTCTATGTGTGAATCAGCTTGTCCATGCTTTAAATTTACATTTTTGGGGTCATGAAAGTTATACGTGGATGGTGGACGACACAGGAGGATCTGATATCCATAACCCCAGTGTTGTTGGAGGGAGAATTGTATACATAATCCGATTTCCCTAATAATGGTGCATTTCTGTGTTCCAGGATGAATGGCTCCTCCTCATACGAGATCTTGCAGATGGACTTTGAAATCGACAACAGTAGTGGGCTGGTGGGGGCCCAGCAGATCACCTGGCAGGTTGAATACCCTCGGGATGAGGCCATGAGCGAGCTCGTTGTCTCCAAGATCTTCGTCAGCCAAGCATCCTTTGCAGGCATCGTTCCACTCGCCATGGTAAGCACCGTATAAAGCTTTCTTATTCAAACGAGAGATTGGAAATTTTCCTTTTTTGGACTACAACGCCCAGCATACCTCAGTCATCACTGCTTGTACTAGGAGCTGCCATACAAAACAATCGTTCTCCCAGCTCTGCTTATGGCTTCACTAAATATTCTTCCATTTGATTCTTGTCTAAAGGTTTGGGAGTGGGGAGGGAGAAATAATTCCTGAAAATGCTTTGATAGAGAACTTATTCTCCTTTAAAAATATTGTTTGAATTGTCATTGGCATCATTCTTTACTTAACCCCCCCCCCCTTCTTCCATCTTATTTCTGGATGATCTTAGCCAATCAGTGAACACGTTTTTTATATTGCTTCCATGTCCTTCCTGGATGATCTTAGCCAATCAGTGAACACGTTTTTTATATTGCTTCCATGTCCTTCCTGGAGGATCTTAGCCAAACAGTGAGCACATTTTAAAAATTGCTTCCATCTCCTTTCTGGAGGATCTTAGCCAACCAGTGAACACATTTTTTTATTGCTTTCATCTCCTTCGTGGACAACCCTAGCCAATTAGTGAACACATTTTTTTTGGTTGCTTCTACCTCATTTGCGGATGATCTTAGCCAACCAATAAACACATTTATGTCTCATTCCAATTCATTCCTGCACAATCTTAGCCAATCAGTTAAATGAGATGACATCATGGCGACACACGGTTGGCCAAGGAAAGCTTAGTGATGGATTCACAGAGACAAACGCAAGTCAGTTAGAGTGACAGTGCAGGAGGAAATGCTCTAAATGAGCATGTAATGTATGTGAAGCTATGACTGTTTTAAAAATAAATAAATATGGAATTTTGTTTTGGCTTACAAAGGAACATTCTTGAGAAGTGGCAGGCGTATTCAACTGAGCCTTAAGAATTCTTAGTTGTGTGTGTTCCAGGCAACGCTTACTCTTTGCTCATTTGCATCTGCAGCAGGGTGGTTTTAAATATGCAAAATACATTTCAATGAGATTTTATTTACCCAATGTACAGTAACAGCTCCTTGGAAACCATTAGAGCCTATTGTGTAAGTGTTTTTGCTCTGTTTGGGGATTATGGGCCCAGGGTACGGTAACAGCTCTTTGGGAATTGTCGCTCTCCATTGTGCTAATGGGATCTCTTGGCATCCATGCTGTGGCGATATGCTGCAATTAGTTATGGCATTTTTGTTGAAATTAATTAGCCGGCTCGTGCTGGAATCTCGGCAAAGCAAACAAGAAAACCATTGGGTGTGTTTTTGTGTTGAGGGGAGGAAACGCTTTCCCCCAGACCTCAAGCATTTTTTTTTTTAGTGCTAAATCATAGGTTCACAGCATTCAGCTTCAGGAAATGCCAAATGCCATGGTTTCAGAAGAGTTTGCTTTCTTTTCGGAAACAAAATCGTGTGGCTTTGAAAAAAAAAATACGGTCAGTGCTCAGATCCTTGGAAAGAAAGGAAGACTTTCCAACCATGGCGATGTGACCAACGTGTTCAAGGCAGGGGATCTCTGAATCATCATTTGTATGGAGACCTGCAGAAGCAGAGGAAAATGACGCCACTGCATGAACAGAAAGTACAGTGTCGCACAGGGTGGGGGGTTGACAAAGAGAGCGATAGAGGCTCAAGCAGCCACATGGACGATCTATGGCTCCATAGAGCACTGATCTTTTTTTTAACGTGTTTCTCCATTGCCAGAGACTGTCATTTCCATATAAAATGACTTGTTACCCAAGCTTGCCAGTGCTCTTAAAATCAGAACCAGACGTCCTTTCAAGCTTTGGGGAAAAAATGGTGGACACCCCCCATGTGAAGGCCTGGTGTGGTTGACTGTGGATGCTGACCTGTCAAAAGTAGTAGAGGGCCAAAGAAAGATCGGGCTGGTCAAACCCAGTTTTTTTTCCTCAAGCGGTGGTCTGCGTACGATAATGGGAATGTGGGTTTCTTGTTCTAATTGAGTCCAGTTTGCTGGGTGGTTTTGATCTCAGCCTGCCCCAGAGGCCGGGAGTTGAATTCCCCACTGTGCCTGCTTGGCAAAGGCTGGACTTGATGATCTATAGGATCCCTTCCAATTTTGCAGTTCTCAGATTACGTGGTTTAGGTATCGGGCTGTAGAAATGTGGGGTTTCGAAGAGCACGTGTGTTTTCCTGAATGGACAAGCAGGATTTTGGGAAAGAGGAGGGTTAATTGGAGAATTGTTATGGGGTGAGGAAGGTTAACTCACTGGCCTTATGCTGGGTTTTCAGTCCAGATTAGAGGTGCCTGCTGGAATGAGGAAAAATGGGTGGGAACCCATTAGGAGAATGAAACCAGACAACATGAACCTCAAACAACATGCCTCAAAGATTCATACTGTTGGCAGTTTTCTACCCAACCTGTATTCATTGTATTAAGCATTAGTGTCTTATATCAGATAGTGACACAGCAAGGATAATATTTTATAGCTATAAATCACATCTTGTGCTTTGGAGTATAGCTTATCTCCAAGAAAGGGACAAAAGGGAGGGTCTGTTAAAAGCATTTTGGAGAACTGTCCTTGTGTGATAAGCGTTGGGTGGCACTAACTTTTCATAGGGACCCAAAGGGTGGCCTTTGTGATTCCTAACTTGAGGAAATTCTTCTCCTTGGTGGCGTTTCTAGGCGGGATTGCTCCGTGGTTGAATGCTGAGGGTAATATTCATGTAACGGAAATAAAAAAAATGAAGTAGGCAGCTGAGAGGATGGGGCTCACATTCAGCCAATGGAAGGCTATGATGGCAGGGTGGTGAACCTGCCCCTGGTTTTGTTTTGATTTTACAGGAGGTGTCCAAGGTGCTGAACCTTATTCTCCAAATAGGTTTGCTATGTTGGATAGTACAGATGAAAATCTGGAGTGGATTGATTGCCCCACTAACACCGGAGCCATCAATTTCCACTGTACGCAGCATAATGAGATGGTAGGACAACTGTACGCAGCATAATGAGATGGTAGGATACCCCTGGGCACTTCAGAGTCCAGGTAGAAAGGCCATTTCTGGTGGCTCACCCATTCTACTGTAACACATCTTGTAAAGAGAAAGCTAGCAGGTCAGGAAGATCAGATCTACTCTAACTCAACCTTTGCCTCCAGTTCTATTTTTCTATATGCATTTCTCCACAGAACTAGGCATTCAATAATGTGATTTCTCTCCAAGCTGCTTTCTCAACGCCTTCTCTGCTGTTTGTTTTGCACCTTACCGATTGGTCTCTTAGAGGTTTTGCACGTTCCACTGGAAAAAAGGAAAGGAGTTACCCGCTCTCAAATTTGGGCTGTGAGACTCAAGATTGGGATCCATTCTCCTATGACTGCAGCCTAGCCAAGAGGGTGACTGTAGATTTTAGGGCTTATTCTCATGACTTCAGGACATGCCATCTGGATATGCTCAGAGACACACTTGTCTTTATTATTATCTGACATGCTCTGGTGCTGATGCTGAGATTCACACATTAGTCATTAAATTCATCATAGGATCTTTGAACCATCTCTCTGTCTGCCTGTCTGTCAGTCTTCTCCCCCCACATAACCAAACACACAGCATTTTCTGACCCCCACCTTATGATGTCACTGGGACACATCCATGACATCACACAGCTCCACCCCTGAGGTTTTGGGTTCTTCTTTACATGGAATGGGGAATCTTGGGGAATGGAATGTTTCTGACTTGCCGATTCCACGCTTGAGGGTCATTTTCATTTACGCTCGAATGTGGAGATTTACTGGCTGGAGCCAGATAAGATAGGAAGGTTCCAGAAATGGAGTCTGTCATGTATCAGACCTCAAGAACCTTACAATGGTACTTATGCAAACCTACTTTCTGTATTAAAGCCACTGAGATCTGGCTGTTCCTGGTAGCATCCTTTATCCCGTTAAGAGCATCTATGTTGGCTCCCCCTTGCTTCGGGTGGCAGCAGAAAGCAATACATTCTTATTATTTCCATGACGGTTTTTTTCTTTTGCATTTGCTGGATCCATCTTGAGAAAACAATCGTCCAGAAAAAAAAGGAAAAAGATAAAAGGAGAAGAGGAGAGGAGAATACAGATGTCTAGAATTTCTTGTTCTTCACACGGGTGAAGTTCGTTCCCGGTTGCTTGGAAACTATCTGGGTTGCCGAGGGTTTGATTTTCATGGTTCAGATAGATAATGTTCTTTCAGCCACTTTTGTTTGGGGAAGCCCACGGGGATAGTGTGTCTTATGTATCATCAACTTTTAAAAAAAGGCTTACTCCAGATCAGGTCCTCTCGTTTTGAACAGTGCACTGTGGATGGTTGCAAATCTGGCAGTTAGAATCGTAAAAGGGAAGTGTAACAAAGCTGTGTTGGGAAACAAGGCTAATGAAGCGCTAGCAGGAGCAGACTTCAGACTTGTGCAGCTTTGGAACATTACATTTTAAAAGGAACTTCTTGTGTTCTTGCTTTTGTTGGGCTGATCATGTTAAGGCATTCATTGCATTTTATTAACACAATGCCTCATCCTTGTCCCTGGCAAGAAGAATCCTGGGCAATACTCTCTCATTCCCTCTAGTGGCCAATTTTGATAGTGCAGTTTGGAAATATTAATAGAGGAAAAATAGGTAGAAAAGAAGAATATTTCCTTTTCTCTGTGGTATTTATAAGAGAATGGCAAAAAGCCTGAAGATATGCTTCCAAAATGCCTTTAAAATCTCTCAAAAATAACTCCTGAAAGTAATTAGGTAATTAATGATTATATGTATCAATCCTGACTTATGGCAATCCTTCTCAGGGTTTTCTGGGTAGAGAATACTCTGAAGTGCTTTACCATTACCTTCCTTTGGGGTGGGCGCCCTGGGACTGTGTAGTTCAGTCTTGTCTTTTGTATAACTCTCAAAGAACAGGTATCACTTGACATGGTAGAAAACTTAGATCGTAATTATTTCTTACATCACTCACCAGTCTAGTTACATAACTAGTTACACTTCACCAGTTACTTCCAAGTTGTATTATTTGTGTGGA